TAACTAGTATTAAACTATTAGAGATAAATATCTAATCTTAATATTTCTTCTAAAGCTTTTTAATTTTAATTAAGATAGGCTAAACTTATTTTTTTTCCTAATTAGTTCTAATATATTTTATATAGTAATTCGAATAAAGTATAAAAGTAATAGTATAAAGAGATATATTATTAGACTTATAATAATATATATTAAAGACTTCTTATTTTTTCCGAATTCGAGTATAAAAGTTTTTATTATTTATATATATATTTTATTATACTATAATTAGTATTATTAATTCAAGTAATAAAAATTAGTATAAAGATTAATATAAAAATTAGTATAAAGATTAATATAAAGATTAATATAAAGATTAGTATAAAGATTAGTATAAATATTAGTATAAAAATTATTACTTACTAGTAATCTATTAAATACTCGAATTAAAATATCTATTATAAAAAGCATTTAATTAATAATTATAGTATTTCCTTAAGTTTTAAAAATAGCTTTATAAAATAGTTTAAAAAAGATAGAAATTATCCGAAGCCTTCTCTAGTTTTCCGAACTAAAGTAATCTAATTTTAGATTTATAAGATACTTCTTATAATAAATATTAAGATAAATATATTACTAAAAAGTAATATTAAGTATTATATATTAGCTATTTTATTATATCTAATTATTAAAAGAAATTATTTTTCTAGTAAGAGCTTTAAATCTAGTAATTTAACTAGAAAAGTAATAAATATATATAATAATATTATAAAGCTAGCCTAATAGTTCTAAAAGTCGAAATTTTATTTGTTTTTTCTTATTACTTAATAGAGCTTCTAAATCTCTCAAGTTCTCTTATTTATTAAGTACTATAGGAGGGAAACTATAATAAGACAAAAACCCATATAAAGTATACTAGAGTATAAAACGTGACTTAATAGTAAAATAATAAATTAAAAGTATAAATAGTAAAGTATAAATAGTATATAGTATATAAAAGCTCAATTAATTAAATTCTTATAAAGAATTATTCTCTAAGTCTATAGAAAAACTAGCTTTCTTATATAATTTCTGCAAGTTATATATAAAAGGCCGCGGCCTTTACTATATAATCTAAACCTTAAAACCGCTAAAATAATATGATTTTTGGGGAGTATAGCCTGCCGTACTATAGTATTTCTAATTCTTTATTTATAAAAATATTATAAAATAAAAAGGCTTATATAGAAAGGTTAATAATATATCCTAAATAATAAACCCGCTATTATAAAGTATCTTATTCTAATTCTTTTTTCCTTAGTAAATAAGCCTAAATAGTTTAATATAATATACTATTTATACTAGTATTATTACTAATAATAGCTTTAAGTTATTTAGTAATATTATAGTCTTAAAATATAGGTTATAAAACCGTAAATTAGTTTTCTTCTAAATAATCTAGTATTATATAAAGAGCTAGAAGAGCCTTTATATAATTCTTATTTTATTATTTAATAAAATATATAATAATACCTAAAAAAAGATATTTTTATAAAAAAGTTCAGATATTAAAAATAAAATAAATACTTGAAATTATAGACTAGAGTTTTTATTATATAATATTCTTTAAGCTAACCTAGTACTTCCTAAGCTTTTTTCTTATATAAGAGTAAGTTATAAAAAAAAGAACTAAGATTCTAGATTAAGTATTTAATAAAAAATAAAAAATTCGGGTTATTTAATTATTTGAAAAAATAGATTATAGATAATTATTAATGAAATTAAAGCTTTATAAATTACTATCTAATTAAGATATTATTAAAAGATATATATATTAATTTTAGTTATTTAGCTAGATAACTTTATTTATAAATAAAGCTATTATAACTAGTTAATCACTTTTAATTAAAGTAAACTAATTTCCGATCTGCTCTTAATAGTAGTATTATATATTAATTTAAGATAATTATATTAATTAGTAGAAACTAAAGTCAAATAAATATTTAATAGATTTTTCTTTTTATAAAGAAAATAATAATAGTATTTAAATAGTTCTCCTATATCTAAATACCCGAAATAAGTATAAGCCTAAATAGTTCTTATAAGTTCTCTTTATTTGAAATCAGATTTGAATTAAATCGAGTCTATATTAGTAAAGGCTTAATAGATTAATAAGGCAGATTTAGAAGCTATATTTAAATAATAGAAAATAAAGTACTATTATATATTAAAGAAAGAATAAAAAAGAATATGAAAATTTTAATCTTTTTTAGAAGAAATAGTAATATAAATCTTAATATTATATATTAAATACTAGCTAGTCTATATTATATAATAGACTATTAAATAGAAAGTATAATAGTATATTTATAATACTTTATTTTTATATTAATCTTTATACTAATTAGTTTATAATTAAACTAGAAAGCGAGATATTTATATAATGAGACTTGCTTAATAGCTAGCTGGACCCACTTTTATTAATAGTATTATTGAGGTAATAGGGCTTGCTTAAGGGCTGGCTGGGCCCACTTTTATTAATAAAATTATTAAAGTAATAGGGCTTGCTTAATAGTTAGCTAGGCCTACTTTTATTAATAGAATTATTAATAACTGGATTAAATATTAGCTAGTCTATATTATATAATAGACTATTAAATAGAAAGTTAAAAAGTCTAATAATATAGTAATAATAGTCTACTTTTATACTAATCTTAATACTAATCGGTTTATAATTGAACTAGAAAGCTGTAATGGGGCTCGCTTAATGGCTGGGCCCACTTTTATCGATGATAATTATTAATATCGATCGTTTATCGATCGCTTAGCCGATAACGATTACTAATCAATAATCCCGATCGATAATTTATCGGAGCCCACACTGAATAAGCAACATGCATGGTATAAGCCAGTGGCAGCGGACAGAGTAAGAGACTGCAGAATGCTAGGACCAGATGGGGTTAAGTTGAGACAGTTTGAGGACACTTTGATGGCAGATTCTGAGAATAAGTCAGAGGACAGAGAAGAAAGTGAATTGATTGGAAGAAGCAAAGTTTTGTTGCAGATCGCACAAAAAAAAGGGCATTGCCATCGCAAGCTAAGGGAAGAGCAGGGAGTTAGGCAGAGATATACGGAGGGCAGGGTGCCCGTGGTGGGAGAGGAAGGGGTAAACTCTTTTTGAAACAGGAAAGACAGTTTTTGGTTGAGGCAAAAAAGATGGTGGAGCAGACGTTGGCGTGAGCGCCCTCAATGCCCACTCCGCAGACGCAAGAGGATATCCGTGAGCAGAAGCAGCTGCCTGTAGCCTAGTGGCAGTACATATGCAGTCCATTAGGTGACCCGCTTGGCTTCGGTTGCATCATGCATGTCTAAAACCGGCATTTTGCATATGCATTGGTAGCAAAGTGCTTCGATTGTTGCATCTCATGTAGTACAATGTGTAGAACATTTGTTAGGGAAGGCGAGGCTCTGATATAATGTTTACGTGGTTAACCCAAACCGCAAAATTTCAGAGTCGAAGTGAATTTGCTGAAGTCCCTTCCCCAGTGTCCTGTTGCAAGACCCGACTATGGTCGCCTAACTGATGAGGAACGGGTTCGGGTGGATTAAGTTGCAAGTATAATTCGTGGGCGAGTTTCATAGGTTGAGATGTTGGGCGGTGTGATGATATGCAGCTCAGCAAGAATGTCAGTGGGCATTCAGACATGGCTGGACTTGGTGTGGAACGTTTATGGCAGCATTTTATCTCCAAGTATCATAACCCCACCCAAACCCTTTTGTAGCAAAAAATAATGCGCCTCATAATGCAGATGCCCGGTGCTTGCCCCGCTATGCATTTGCCTACTCCCCTTTCCCCAGAGGGCCAAATACCCTGTTGAACGCCTTGATCACCCCGTCGTATATAATACCGTTATCATGGAAGGCTCCTGTAAAGATTGCCCCGTCCCTAATTGGAAAGAAGAGATTTCGGAGCTTGTGAGCCAATGTTGCGAGGTTCTCAAATCGCGGTGCAAATTCCGCAGCGATGTCTTTAAACCCATTTTTATCCATGTCCCCAAGCTTGTTTCGTGCATTTCGGCGTACGTACCAGTGACTATCCTTGCAACTTCCCAGACGCCAGGTGATATCTTGCGGCTCCTCTCCCATTTGTTCATGAAGCGCAGTTTGTGTACGCCATCCTTCTTATGCAAATGCGATCTAACTCCATGCAGGGATTCACAGATGCTTTTTTGCAGACATGATTGGTAGCCTTCTCGGAGCCAAGGCCGAGAGGTGCTCGTGCGCACGCTACTCGATTGCGTTAAAACGGCGCCAGCATCGACAATTCAGTCGCTCGTCTCTCACCACCTGGTCATCCTCGACACGCCTCAGCAATTCTCGTTATTGCCTCTTTCTCTTCCGATTCCGCCTGCCACTGCGAAGATCACACGTGCAACAAGACGTTGGGCTCATTCCAATTCAATTGGGTCGTCATGGTGTCGCTCGATAAAAATTACTTTGTTATGCGTAGCATGGATTATGCTCCAGATGGGCGACTCGGAATCGGATCGATCCTCGCCGACCCAGAAGATCCTAGCTCTGTGTTAGGTACCTGGGCACAGTCACCAAGAGATGCCACCTCCAAAATCGAACAGCGAGACTTTTCGGCTTCTCGAGTGACCAGTGACGACCTACCGTCTGCTCGTCTTATAACAAAATTCTTGGCGACTACGGGGCTAGCTGCGAATGTGGGCGGAAAATCTGCGGCTGGCGTAGCCATGAATTCAGACTACAGCTTGAAGTGTGATAAGCTGGAAACTTTCCAGTTTGCGCCGAGCCATAACTACATCGTCGGATGTGCTCATTCCTTGGACGTACAACGGTACTTGCAGGAATCCCATGGCTTTCTGGGCAGAAGACAACGACCTATCTACGTCGTCACGGGTTTGATGATCGCAAAGGGCGCACGGATGTCCACATTGAATGTCAGTGTATCGGGAGCAGCAGTCTCCGTTGGTCCGCTGGGATGCAAGACGCTTACTGGGTCTAATGCTGGGAGGTCAATGTTTTTCGGTGGTGAGGGTGACTTTATATTCGCCTATAAATTAACTAAGGTGAACGTGAAAGAAAGATTTCCCTCAATAGCCCGTCCCATTGAAAGCGAGGGCCAGGAGGATGGGAAAAAACCCACCACAGATGCGGACGCGTCCGAGGAAGAAGCACCCTCTGAAACAAGGCCAGGATTGGGGGTGGAGTCAACTGACGGCGAGGATCTCGTGTTCGACGGCGAAGAAGATATCGCAGTTTCCGACCCCACAAAACCCGCCAGGATTCTTTGTCTCGACGGCGGCGGGGTTCGCGGCATCTCGTCTCTGTGCATGCTGAAGGAGATTATGCTCGAGGTTGGGCGCGAGAAGCAGCGTCGGTCAGGGTAAGTTCATGCCATCGCCCATTGGGCCATCTCTATATTGTTCAGAAGTAACCTTTTTGAGAAGAGCTGCGGGGAATCCAGAACCGGTTCGACCGTGCGACTATTTCGACTTGATTTGCGGGACCAGCACTGGAGGATTGATCGCGTTGATGCTCGGTAGGCTTAGATACGTAAGTGCTTGCCTGCAGGTAATGGTTCTAACGTATTAATATACTCTCCCGCAGACCGTGGATGAGGCCATTGATCAGTATACCCGGCTTTCTGAAGCTATTTTCACCTCCAGGAGCAACAACCCAGAAGCAAAATATGACCACAAGGTACTCGAGGAGAAGATCAAAGAGATTGTCAAGAATTCCAGCCTCGGACTTAAACCCGATGCGCGACTGGAGGATCTGGAGCCCGGCGCATGTAAGACATTCGTGATCGCGATGTACTACGCGGACGGATCAACGCCATATCTGATGCGAAGTTACAAGACACCCGAGCAGTCGATTGAGCCTGCCCCGTTTCCCGCACGTATCTGGGAAGCTGCGAGAGCGACTTCGGCGGCACCCACGTACTTCGAGCCGATTGAGATTGACTTGGGTCCACGCAACGGGGAGTCAAAGCTGGCCACCTTCGGGGACGGCGGAACCACGGCCAATAACCCATCCTACGAGGCCCTTGTCGAATTTAAGAACATTTGGCCTGCGCGTCATCTGGGTTGCATCGTCAGTCTGGGAACTGGAGTGGAGAAAGCTGCTCGCATCTTGCATATCACAAGCTTGGGGGTGCGGATCCTGCGATTCTTCAGTCAAAGTGCAGCGCACCAAGCCGACGTTGGGAAGTATTGCTCCGAAGTGGCCACCAGCTGTAACAAGACTCACCACGACGTGGGCAGGGCTATGAAACGGCTGAAGTGCCCAGATCTGTACTTCCGACTCAACGTCCCCGACATAGGACAGATCACCCTGGACCAATTCGCAGAAGCCACAAATATGAGGAATCGTACAGCCGAATATATGGCGGCAGACCATGCGAAGAAGAAGGTACGGAGTCTTGGCGTCATTCTCTTTGATCCGGAATCCATATATCAACGAATGCTGGAGGATGAATTTGGTCATGCCCTCGGCGACGTCCTCGCGCCGGAGTTTCAAGCTATTCCGCTGACATCATCCTTGTTGGAAGAGTTCTACAAGATAAGAGCCAAACAAACTTCCCCGAACGTCAACGATGGCTCGCAAAATCAAGATGTGACCACAAGGAGTGCCCAAGCAACAACCTCGAGTGATGGCAAGCTGGCCATCCAGTGGACGTGGCCGCATTATAGCAACAAGCTCTCTGTGATCCAATCCGTGATCTTCCACCATCACGACAAGCATGGCGCCACATCTGACAATGGAGCGCAGAGACGACAAAGCGAGTCCCAATTAAGCGGCCGAGGCAACCTGAAATCAGCCGTCGCCTTTCTGGAGCTTGACTCCAAATTTAGCTTCGTATCGTCGAAGTTCGTCAAAAAATGGCATATGGAGCCACAGCTAGTTCCCGCCGGGTTCCCCACCAGCTTGAAGATCGGCCACGCAGAAGTCGTGGCGGAGACGTATATCACCCTTGCCTTCAGTTGCCACGGTTTCGAGATGCCGAAACAGCAGACGTATTTTTGGATCTTGGAATCGGACGAGTTCGAGATCCTGTTTGGGGAGAACGCGTTGAAGAGGTCTAAGTTGGACAGGTTGGTGGAAGATGCGTGCTCGGACGAGTCCGATAGGGAAGGCTGAAGCGGTGTCATTTTCTCAAAGGCGGAAAGGGGAGAAGGACAATTTCTATGGCGTTTTCTTTCGAGGCCGTCGAGCAGAGGGTAAACACGTGACTAATGTTTCTGCTATAGGCTGTTTAGGACGTCTCACTTTTCCATTCCCAATATCGGTCCACGGATTCTTTTCCATAAGCACCACTAGTGTTAATCAATTTTATCAAGGTATTAGATTTCTTCGAGTAGTGATCTTTGTGGTTGTCAATTTTGACGCTGCGCTTAGCTGGAGCAGGTTTGTTGCAAGGCTCCGCAGGGAGCCAAAAATGGCTGCATGCCACTCCTGACGATGTCGAGCAGATTATAAGCTAGGCAAGCGCCAAAAACTGAATGCTGTAACAGGGATGTCAAAAAATGGCATCCGAAATTCTGTAAGGATCATGATCATACATATGCGGTATATTACGTTCCTAGCGATTTTCGCCTTCGCTACCTCGTCTCAGCTTAGCGTTCACCAACCCCATCGCAGACTGCTATCAAATTCCCCCTTGACCCTTTAATAATATCGCTTTATTGCCTATGTTCCTAAGGCACTGGTTCGACCATGGATTCTGTTATATCCAGAAGCACTCCTAGCTCGCTTCCAGGCACGCGAGCTACCAGAATGTTACTAGTAGAAGCCGGCTCCAATTTTGCCTTACTAAGGCCTAAAACGGCTATATGCCTCTTTTTGCCTTTTTGTAATATTTAATAAAAAAGGAAGCCGATTTAATTCAAGAATATAAAACAGACTTAATTATTCTAAAGAAATAATTTATAATTAAAGCTTTTATTATATTTTAATTAGGAAGTAAAAATTAATTATATATAATATAAAACTAAAATAATATTATAATTAAAATATAATATACTACTTGAATTTCTTTAATACTTTTTTTCTATAAATTACGGGATTCTATTATATAATAATTAATATATCTATTTCTTATTTCAGGTATTTAGGCTATTTTCGAGAATTATTTCTAAAATAAAAAGCTAAATAAATTATATAATATTCTTAACTAAATAACTAAAATACTATATTAAGATTTTTAGACCTATATAGAAATATTTTAATAAAATTAAAAATTATTTTAAAAACTTATCTTTTTTTATAATTATATATTATATAATTAATTAAATAGAATTATTTAATTTCTTTATTATTATTCTATAATTAATTTAATTTGGGATTATATTAGTCTAAAATTAGTATTATTAGATTATATAATTACTTTTACTTATTATTTTAAATTATATTAAATCTATTATATTTATAATATTTTCTAAAATGAATTTAATTTATATTAATAAATTAAATATATCTAATATTTAATAATATATTAAATATATTAGTTTTAATATTAAAAGATTTTCGATAATAACTAATAATATAAAAGCTTTTATAATAAATATTATTCTCGATTTCTTTATTATTATATATATTAATTAAGATTAATTAGCTAGTTTTAATTATAATTAGAAGTTTATTTACTAGTATTTTATTTATAATTTATATATAAAATAATAAAATAAGCCTAAATTAAAGAAATTGCCTTAGACTTAAAATCTTTATTAATAAAATTATATAATAAGTTATATATTTGAATTATATATAATTAAAACTAATAAATATTTCAAATAAGTTTTAGTATATAACTTATATACTAATTTATATATAGGCTATAAATATAATTTAAATACCTGAATAATATATAAGTCTAATTTTTAATATTAGTCTTTTATTAATAAAGCTAGTAAAAGAAATTAATAGAGAAATAATAAAAGCTTTAGATTCTTTTTTTTTTAAGATTTAATTAAAGTATTATAAAGTTATATAATATTAAAATAGAAATAAGTTTTAATAAAATTATAATAAAAAATATATTAAAAAGTCGATTTTTAAAACCTAAATAATATATGAATTTGATTTTTAATACTAGTATTTTATTAAAAATATTAGTAAAAGAAATCTATAAAAGAATATTAAATGTTTTGAATTCAGTTTTTTTATTTATTTAATAGCTATATTTTAAAGTTATATGAATTTAAAATAAGAATTTCTAAATTCTTGAATTTTATTAAAAGAACTAGTTATATTTAAAGAATTAGTTATATATAATACTAGTTAAAATAATTAAATAAATAGCCTTAAAATAAAATTTTATTTTAAAAAAATAAGTTAGTTAATAAGCTTATAAAAATATATAAATTAAGCAAGCTACTTTTTATAAAAATTAGATTAGTAATTTATTTTTAATTAATTTTAAAAGAATTAAAAAATATGAGATTCTAAGTTATTTAATTAAAAGAAAAATTTAAATATTAAATTTAATTATAATAAAACAAAATTAAGATATATAAAATACAAGATTTTGAAAAATAATATTTTTATAAAAGCTAGATTAATAATAATATAGAATTAAAAGAAAAGTATTTATATTATATAAAAATTTATAATATTAATAAAAATCTTAATAAAATAAAATAAAATAAATCTTTTAAAAAAGAAATAAAATACGAATCTTATTAAACTAATAGAATAAATAAAACAAATCTATATATAATTCAGAAAACTAAAATAAATATTATTTTTATATTATTTTATAAGTAATTTTAAATTTTATTATTATTATTATATATATAATTTATATAATATAAAAGGGAAATTATAATAAAATAAAAACCTATATAAAATATACTAGAATATAAAATATAACTTAATAATAAAATATAAATAATATATAATATATAAAAGCTTAATTAATTAAATATTTAAAAGAAATTATTTTCTAAAACTATAGAAAAACTAGCTTTCTTATATAATTTCTATAAATTATATATAAAAGGCTATAGTTTTTAGAGAATATAGCCTATTATATTATATTCGATTTTTTATTTATTTATACTTATTTTTTAAATACTAAAAATAATAGAAAAATTCTATTTAAAATCCGAAATAATAAAATAATTAGAATTCTTTTTTATTAGCTAATATAATTTCTTTTTAATATATCTAAAATAAAATCTATTATTCTTAAATAGTTTTATTTCGTATTTTTGAACTTATTTAAAAGTAATTCAAATCCGCTTAGCTATATTCTTATACTAAATCCGATATAGTTTTTTATATTAATTAATATTTACTTTTAATTATTATTTCATTTCTGCTTTTATTACTAGATATTAAAAAAACTTATTATAGTAAATTATATTATAAATTATTTTAATATATTCTAAATAGATAGTTCTTTCGAATTTTATATTATTTATATTATTCTTAAATTAGCCTTTAATAAAAGAGAAAAACTTTAGTTAAGAAGCTTTAATAATCTTATAAAAGATTTCATTTTTATATATTCTATTCTTAATAATAATTAGATTTATTAGAATTATAATAAAAGGCCTATTAAATAATAAATTATTATTAAGCTATTATTTAGTTTCTATATTATTCGAGAATTATTATTTACTTATAATTTCAGACTTATAGATTATCTAGTTAAAGGTATTTATTTATCTAGTTAA